GTGAAATTCCGTCTTCTTTCTTCATATGTGAAATAGATTTGTGAAAGATATCTTGGCCATAACATTTGGGCCTTTTTTTTATATATATTTTTATTTTGTTAACTTTTACAATGTTTTCATAAATTCAAAATCCTTTAGGTTGATTATCTAACACTAAGTGCTCATCTGTGCTCCCTGCCTTGCTTCCTATACCAAACCCTCTGTCAGGAATCTTGGTGTAAACTATGCTCAGCTTTTACCCCGAATCCCCCGTACGCACGTCAGTTTTCAGAATTAGCATTCTGAGCTGACATTTGTAATCCATGTCTGCATCTCTTCCCACTTAAGCTGCTTTTACAGAACAGTGCCGTCAATTTTGGCGCAACACCGTGGCGGCATCAGGGAGCTTTAGGTCGTTTATAAGTGGTCAGACCGTGGTGGTGATGGAGCAATCGTGTCGTTTTTATAAAAGATTAGGAGGGTATGGGGGCAGTCTCTGCGATGTGGCGGACTTCCATTTATCTTGAACATAACTTGCTTTTTATTGTGATTAAAGCCGCGATTGTTACGTTTTTTAACAAGCAGCTTCTAAAGGTTTCTGTCCCCATCAGTCCCTGTGCAGTCTCTGATGATGTGAGCTTCAGCTCTAACAGAGAGACGCTCACTGAGCGCTGCAGCGCTCCAGTTTGCCATCTCAGCTAATTTTGTTCCAAAAGCCAAACTTATTGCCCATATTTACTTTCATGGTTAATAAATGTGCCAGTCGGAGCATCATCATGACACCTCCCTGTTTTCCTACCATGGTGCAATAGCTGTTCATAAGACAGACCATTACCGCAATATCACTACCAAGCGAGGCGGAACAAATGCAGCAAAACTTGTGCAACGCCATGCCGGCATGGCACATTTACAAGACACACTGTTGCAGTACTATTTCGCCAATTTGCCGGCACGGTGTGTCTTGTAAAAAGGGATTTAGTCTACTTAATCTCACTCTTCAATTGTCTGAGAAAAGCATCATTGGATTGATTATAGATAGGTCAGAATGACTGTGACAGGCTCCTGACAAAGCCCCCCGAGTACTCCCAAGTAACCCAGCTACTCTTCCAGCTTCACTGGCTGCTACTAAACTGCAGAGATCATTTCAAGATTCTAATTCTGGTTTTTAGGGCTTTAATGGAAAAACACCAACCTAAATCAGTGATCTTTGACATCCCTACACCCCCAGCATGTCCCTGAGGTCCTGTGTTGCAGATTAGGTCATGCAGCATCACCGAGAAATCAGTTCGTAACTCATTATGCCTTCAAGGTTCCTGTGCTCAAGAAAGTACATGAACAAGCCCATTTGAAGTTTGCCACTGAACATCTAAATGATTCACGTGAGGACTGGATGAATGTCCTGTGGTCAGATGAGACCATAATCCAGCTCTTTGGCATCATCTAAACTCGCTGTGTTTGGAGGAGGAGGGATGCTGCCTATGACTCCTAAGAACATTGTCCCTACTAATAAACAAGGACGGGGCAACTATGCTTTTGGGATGATTTCTATCAAATGGACAGGAGAATCGCACGACATGAAAAGGAGGATCAATGGGGCCATGTAGTGTCAAATCTTAGGCCCTGTCCACACGTAGCCGGGGATCTGCCAAAACGTAGATATTTTTCTACGTTTTGGCCTGTCATCCACACGAAAACGGAGTTTTTTCACACGAAAACGGATCTTTTCAAAAACTCCGGCCAAAGTGAAGATCTGCGTTTTCTCCGTTTTGGGTGTCTGCGTGTGGACAGACAAAACCGGAGTTTTAAGGTCCGCAACGTCACTTTCCACGACAGAAAAATGCTGACATCACGTGTGCGACCTGTGTTTACACTAGCCGACAGCATGGATGCCCTCAGAGCTGCGCTCGCTTTATCAATTGTCCAAGCGCTTTTTGCTTGTTTGTTTTGCAAGCGGAATTACTGCTCCTTGCGGAAGACCACAGACGAAGGACGAGGTTAAGAACGGGGGAAGTACTGCCGCCTACAGGTCTGGCATGTCCATAACATCGTATTTATCCGGGTACGTGTGGACAGAGTTTGTTTTTAAAACGCGGTGGTGTGGATGCAAGTTTTTGGAAGGGTGCATATTTGTTTTCAAAAAACCCTGGCTACGTGTGGACTAGGCCTTAGGTGAGAACCTCCTTTCTTCAGCCAGGGTATTGAAAATGGGTCATGGGTGGGAAATCTGGTATGACAAGTATCCAAAACATGCTTTTGCACAAAGGGAAGCAAAATAAGGTCTTGGAGTGGCCTAATCAGTCTCCAGTCCTTAATCCCTTAGAATAGCTGTGGAGCGAGATAAAAGTTTGAGTTGGCAAACGTCAGCCAAGCAACATCAATGACTTGGAGAGGATCTGAAAAGAGAAGTAGGACACATTTTCCTCTAGATGTGTGCAAAACTCGTGCAAACTATAATACACATCTAATCTCAATAAAGGGTTTGCCACCAAGTACTAAAGCACATTTGCAAAGCGATCCAATATTTATTGAATTCATGAAAATGAAAAAAGTTCAGTTTTCTGGCTTTTCTTTCCCATTGTTAACTGTTCAACTAAACCTACTATTGACGTTGTAGAGTGATCATTTATTTGTCATTGGGCAAACCTGCAGAATCTAACTGAGCAGTGGCTCTGGAGGGGCAGCAGTAGGTAGAGCAGGTTGTCTAGCAATCGGAGGGTCGCAGGTTCGATCCCGACTCAGACCAGAGAATGTGTTCTGCTGTCGTGTCCTTGAGCTAGACACTTAACCCTGCTTGCCTGCTGCTGGTGGTTGGAAGGCCTGGTAGTGTCTGCACTCGGCAGGTTCGTCCCTGTCAGTGCGCCCCAGGGCAACTGTAGCTACACTGTAGCTCATCAGCCTCAGCGTGTAAATGTGTGTGTGTGGGTGGATGAATGATACATTGTAGTGTAAAGGGCTTTGGAGTGTTCTGGCTCTGAAAGGTGAGTGGGACTTTTATAATTTATTAAGTAGAGACAAAGGTTTGTATGATCGTAAAGGAGAGTTTAACTTAAAATTGGTTAAACACATAAACATTTTGACTCATTTGCTTAATATGACTGACATGTCAAGGTGGCCTGGATGTGAAGCTCAGCATGATTACAAATGAAATCATTAACTCCCGACTCATCACAGGAACAGTCATTATAGCACACATCCTCACTTAGCTTATTTTTGTTTTTGTTGTTGTTGTTGTCACGTGTGTGTGTGTGTGTGTGTGTGTGTGTGTGTGTGTGTGTGTGTGTGTGTGTGTGTGTGTGTGTGTGTGTGTGTGTGTGTGTGTGTGTGCATTTCTCTTATACCTTGTCACAGTGAATAAATCTTTTTCCTCTTCATGGTGCAACATGCAAGAAAGAAGTAAGAATGGAATCCTGTGGTCAAACTTGGGTACTGCGGTCTATTTTTCTAAACACAAAGTCACTGTCTCACTCCCGTTCCTTGAGTTTCATGACTGTTACAGAACAGCGCCAGACGATTCTGACATTATAGAACACATCATACACAGCAAATTCTTAAGTAGACAAATGCATTGTCAAATCTGGTGTTAGCACTCTTGAGTGTTTTACAATAGGGAGCACTTTCTACACTTATTATGGTGATAGTTTTCTGGCATTACATGTAGTAGATTTAGCTGTCTTGCTGTTCTGGTTCTCAACGCCTCATTAAAGGAAGTAAAATGCCACAACGGACTCATCTCACATATACATTTCACTGTAATTTCGAGTTGTTGGTAATTGAAAGCAAATCACAACTGTCCATTAATTCCTGGTTTGCCAATAATAGTATTGGCATTTTGATAGTTTTTTTCAGTTGTTTCCAAGTGATGAGAGATCCCACTTCTAGTTCAGCTTTGATCAATTAATAATCTATCCTTCAGTGTGAGTAGCCAGTCTTTACATAAACAATGGAAGGATGTGATCAATATGTTTTCTATGATGATTCAAGGCAGTTGGTTAAGATGGAACTGATGACCAATTTTAATTTAAAGTTCATATTTATCTTTTACTACATGTGAATATGTGATTTTTGTGTGCTCTCATCGCTCCTCTAGAGAGCATAAAGTAGGAGAGATGGTGGAAGCTTTAAAGATGAGAGTGAACTAAATCATGGGAAGAGCCTGGATGTTTTACCTTGGAAATTGGTGAAATGCCAGAGGAAAGTAGCTAACAGCAGCAGCTGTGAAGCAAGCTGGCTACTGTTTATTAATGAGGTGGAAATCAAAGGAGGAAAATACTACCCAGCAAGGCCAGTTCTTAGAGGATGGTACACAGATGGGCCCGTATGAGCTTAGCATATTAACATGTTCTGAAACGGAGTTGCTGAATGTGTCTTTAGGTTTTCCTGTCCGTGGGTGTGATAGTTCTTCTGTGAAACTTGACTTGATTGTCTCCTATTTTAATTCAAATTTAGTTAAGAAATACAAAATATATTGCAGTTTTTTTTATTTCTTTTTTTTTTTTTACATGAAGTAATCTTTGCAGAGTACCTAGCCAGCTGTGTGATGAATGTCCCCTGCAGGGGTCCCATCCTCTTGTTTTCTGCATTTCTTTGACATTTGGGTAGTCTTGCAAAGATAGGAAACAGTATTTTCAGGTATTTTTAAGCAGAGAACACACACACACACACTCAGAAAGTTCTATGTTTATATTCTTATCAGATGTTTTGTGAAGAGGACCATATTGTTCATAAAACATTTTATACAAGGTTTTATTAAACTATCTACATTTTAAGGCAACATAGAGCTGCCGCCCACACAAAATGAAATTAGAGCGATATCACGCTATAATGTGATGACTTTATTAGTCAATATACAAAACAATATATTTTTCACATTCTTACAACATACCATCATATCTAAGTCACAGAGTCTTGCAAGTGACAGCTCCCCATTATATTTGTAAATGTGTTGTTGATCAATGTGACGTAGAGACACATGCTTACCATAGAAACTAGATAATTAAGCTTTAATATTCTTTGTTTTTCAGGCTTTGTGCGCGAGTTGTTGAACCGCTCCATATCGAACCTTAAAGATACTTTTACATCAACTTGGGGTTCTTTATACTCCGAAAACTCCCAGGTTTTCTCTGACCTGTACAAGGACTTGATGGGCTACTATGGAGGCAACAGCGCCAATCTGGAGGAGGTGCTGAGTGATTTCTGGACCAAGCTTCTGGAGAGAATATTTTACCAAACAAACAAGCAGAGTTCAATAGGTACGTTCACACGGGAAAACACATTTGCAAAAGGGAACATTGGAAGTGTCTAAATTAAAATAACAGTTTTTTTCTTCTAAGCAAAAGTTGTTTGAATATTTTATCTTAAATCAGTGTTTCGCAGTAATTTTCCAGGAACATCATTATTTTGGTCGTCTTTTTCTGCCAACAGCCATCCGCTTCCTCTCTCACCTCCATGTTCCTATGCGTTAATAAGCTGCTTCTTCTGCTGGGTTAAAAATGGCAGCTTGGTGATTAGGTTGAGCACTGCTGCCACCTAGTTACTGGGGGCGGTTTTGCATTCCAGCATTCTCCTCATAATAAAATGTGTTTGCCAATTACAGGTGAAGACTATCTGGAGTGTGTATCCAAGCAAATGGAAACTCTGCGACCCTTTGGGGATGCACCACATAAAATGGCGGTACAAGTCACGCGCACATTCGTGGCTGCACGCTCATTCATTCAAGGATTGTCTTCCAGTGTGAACGTAGTGCGCATAGTGGGACAGGTAAAGCCTCTCACCCTGACAGATAATCAATCTATCTTCAACATGACCACTTTTACTGCTCTTTTACTCTTTTTTGTTTTCCTGGCATCAAATTTGAAGCAATTTTCATTCATTTTAATGTTCTAAAGTGTTCATCTTCACGTTCTACATGCAAACTCAACTGCACACATATTCACTTAAAACTGGCTCTTACCACTCCTCATACTGTTTGAAGGAGTGGCAGATTGATGTTGGTAGAAGTGAGAAAATTCATAATGTATGGCCTGTGGTGTAAACAATCAGCCCCAGCAACAACAGTTAATGTCAACTCCCAACTGAAAAATGCCCCCTCGGGCTGCGGGAAAGTTAATGTGTCTCAAGAGGAATGGCTCCTCTGTGTGTAAGACAAGAGGGAGGTTAAGATCAGTGCAAGACTGAGAAATTCTTTCAAGGAGGTGACCAGCTCTGATGCCGGTGCTAAAATGATCTCTTGTCATATACTAGGAGAAGAGAACAATCAAAGAAGTGGTACTGTGAGGGGAAAAAGATGTGTCTTTGGCAAAAATGCACTGCTTCAGAAAAGTTATTTCTTTTTCAGGAAATACTGCAGTGATTAAATGAAACTTAGATGACTAAAGCTGAAAAACAAAAAGAGCTTGGGATTTGGTGAAAAAGAGATCTAAATGTAGGATTTTAATCTTATTTAGAAAAAAGACTTTCTTGAAAAAAATAACAAAATAAATGTGGAACCCATGTAAGATGTAGATGTGAGAGAGCTTTGGACAAGAGCCATCCATCCATCCATTTTCAGCCACTTATCTGAGGTCGGGTCGCGAGGGCAGCAGCCTAAGCAAGGAGGTCCAGACTTCCCTTTGCCCAGCCACTTGGGTCAGCTCCTCCGGGGGAATCCTAAGGCTTTCCCTGGCCAGCCAAGAGACATTGTCCTTCCAGCGTATCCTGAGTCTTTCTTTAGGTCTTCTCCCGGTTGGGCGTGCCCGGATAACCTCACGAAGGAGGGTCCAGAAGGCATCATAACTAGATGCCTGAGCTACCTCAAATGGCTCCTCTCGAGACAAGAGCCCAAGATTCAAAATTTTAAGGGCAAAATATTATTTGGATATTTTTTGCAGATAATTTAGCATATAATTTGCTATCAGAATTTTTTTTTTATTATTTCTATTTTGTTTTTATGAATCAAACATATTCTCCTAGTAGTAGCAAGATGGCGCCCATGAGTGGCTGTGCGTCTGCTAGGCTCCTGATCTGTTTTGGTTATTTGTTGTTTTTTATTGTTTTTTGTCTATCTGGTGCGGAGTCCCTGCTAACATATGATCGAGACTTACTGTTGTCGATCAGGTCCGCGATGATCAACCTTCAGAACTCCGATACTAGACCCGCTTTCCCACCGCCTCTGGAACCTGGCGTTAACCCAGGTCTCGGCCCTCTGTTACCTGTCGGCCTGCCGCTACCCAGGAGGCCATGGAAGAGGAAACGGGGGAAGAGAGCCGGCTTCTTCGTTCAGCTGCGAAAGATCCTGAGAGGCGAAGCACTTCCCGATCGCTGCTCCGCGGCTGTGTTGTGGCGGATCCAATAGAAACTTAATGGAGTTGGGCTGATCTCGCTGCTAAATGGAGCCCCTGATGCGGGATGCTACCTGAAGGCGTGGGAGACAAAGAACCACCGCGGGCATAGCGTGGAGTCGCTACGTAGCTTAGCCCGCCAGCCGCCCGCCATTATCGAGCCCGCGGCACACACGCCGCCAGATTCCTCCGTGAAAATTATGTTGATTAATGCGTGCTCCATCGCCAACAAGTCTCACATCCTCAACGATCTGTTCCGGACCAAAAAATTACACTTTTTGTGGATTTCTGAGTCGTGGCAGCGCGAAAATGACGTCACTCATCTCCGTGAGCTCTGTCCTCAAGACTGCTCTTTCTTCTCTGCTCCACGGACCACAGGCTGCGGTGGAGGAACAGCTGTTATATTTAAGAAACACTTTTCGTGCCAAATTATATCCTCAAACTCCTACAGCTCATTCGAGATGATCATGATTGAAATTGGTCGAGTTCAACCAGTTTATGGAATTCTGGTCTATCGCCCACCTGGATCTACTTCATCCTTCCTGTCTGACTTTTAGGATCTCCTATCTTCAACTATTAAACTAGACAGGATAATCAGTGTTGGAGATTTCAACATCCATGCTGAGGATCTATCTAACAGCTCTACCAGGGAGTTCCTAAACATGATGAATTATTTTAACTTCTCTCAACACGTGTCTGGTCCCACTCACAGAGCAGGCCACACCCTGGATCTGGTCTTTTCCTATGGACTTCTTGTTGATAAGCTGCAGATACATGATGTTGTGTTCAGTGACCATAAGTCAGTTTCTTTTCACATTAACCTAAATTCAGAATCTCTTTTACTAGTCTCTGCTAAGCAAAGACGTATTATCAACAGTTCTACCATTTAAAATTTCTCCTCCCTCTTTGACTTTGTACCTCCTTCCTCTGATGACGTAGAGCTCCGTACCAACTCATTTAATGATCACTGCCTCAGAATTCTAGATCAGGTCGCCCCTTACAAAACCAGCCACAGTTCCAGTGCCTCCAGTTCACCCTGGCTGAACAACCAGATTCTTGAACTTAGACGCTCCTATAGAAAAGCGGAACGACTGTGGAAGAGTACAGGTCTGGTTGTTCATCGCGAATATTTTAAAGAACTTCTCGAGTCATACAACGAAGCTGTAGAAAATGCCAGGTCTTCTTTCTTCAGCAACCTCACATGTGAAAATAAGAATAATCCTAAGGTTTTGTTTGATACCATCTCCAGCATCGTGTCTTCTCCTCCGCAGCAGGCTCAGCTATCTTCATCTGATGACTGTAACACCTTTCTCCACTTTTTTGCAAACAAGGTGTTGAATCTGAGATCCAGCATTCCACCAGCCCTCACCCCCTCAGGAGGGGAGGCCCCTCAGTGCTCCGAGTCTTTCACCTCCTTCACCCCAATTACACTAAATGACAACCTCAATAATCAGTCAGATGAAACTCTCATCATGCTCTTCAGATATCTTAATTCCCTCTGTTTTAGTCGGGTCCCTTGCTTCTAACATTCCATCTCTGTTGATTATGATCAACAGCTCACTGAGCCAAGGCTGTGTTCCATCTTACTTTAAAAATGCAGTAGTGACTCCTCTCTTAAAGAAACCCAACCTTGACGCCAGCTCCACCAGTAACTTTAGGCCCATTTCTAAGCTACATTTCATCAGCAAAGTACTTGAGAAGGTTGTTGAAACCCAACTCAGATCCTGGTTTTCCAAATCAAAGATCTCTGACCCCTTCCAATCTGGCTTTCTGAAGCAGCACTCAACTGAGACTGCTCTAGTAAGGGTGCATAATGACCTCCTGATGGCTGCTGATGCAGGGAAATGCTCTGTCGTGGTCCTGCTTGACGTCAGTGCAGCTTTTGACACTGTAGACCACAACGTTCTACTAAACAGGTTAAAGGCCCTGGCTGGGATTTCAGGTTCTGCTCTAGACTGGCTCTCTTCTTATCTCACCAACAGAACATTCACAGTGAAGTCCGAAACCTTCTCTTCAGATACTGCCTCTCTAACATGCGGGGTCCCACAATGTTCGTTCTAGGGCCTCTAATATTCGCATTCTATATTCTTCCCCTAGCTGTCATCATTCAGTCTTTCCCAGACATCTCCTACCACATCTACGCTGATGATATACAGCTCTATATGTCCTTTATGCCACACCAGTTGGACAGGCTGGCCACACTTGTACTCTGCCTGACCCAGATCAGTAACTGGCTGTCCAGCAACTTTCTTGTCCTAAATGCTAACAAGACAGACCCTGACCGCTGCACCCCCGGAACTTCAGCCAAAAATCGAGCAAAAAATTGCCTCTTTTTGCCCATCAGCCAAGGCCAACATTAGAAACCTGGGAGTTATTTTTGATCCAGCTTTAAGTTTAGACTCACACGTCAAAACCATCTCCCGCTCTTGTTTCTTTCAACTGAGAAACATTTCAAAAGTCCGTAAACTGGTTTCTACTGCAGATCTAGAAAAAATCATCCATGCCTTTGTGTCATCACGCTTAGACTACTGTAACGCTCTTTTTACTGGTCTCAGCAAAACCTCCCTCTCATGCCTTCAAGCCATCCAAAATGCAGCAGCCAGACTCCTAACCAAATCCAGCAGACGAGCTCACATCACTCCAGTTTTACAGTCCCTCCACTGGCTCCCGGTAGAATATAGAATACAGTTTAAAGTTTTAGTCCTGACCTATAGAGCTCTTAACAACCAGGCTCCAAGCTACCTATCTGAACTTTTATCCCCACACACCACCTCTCAGAACCTTAGATCCACATTTGAAAACCTCCTGGCTGTTCCTCGAACCAGACTGAAAACCAAAGGGGACAGGGCCTTTCAGACTATTGCACCCAGACTTTGGAACAGTCTGCCTTCAAATCTCCGTCTCTCTAACACCGTAGAGGTCTTTAAAAATCATCTAAAAACTCACCTTTTCATCCAGGCGTTCCCTCCCTAAATGTTTCAAAAAGATGGCTTTGTTTGGGTTCACACCTTCACTTTTTTTATACTCATGATTTTATTTACTATTTTATCACTGCTATAGTTTTTTGGATGTTTTTATTGGTTAGAGGTATTTGCCCTGATCTTTATCATGTTGTACAGCGCTTTGTGATTTATACCTGAGAAAGGCGCTATATAAATAAACTTTTACTTACTTTACTTTACTTACTCCTTCACTAGTGTCTAGCAAAAATATATCAAGCATTTTTTAATTTCCTTTTTTAAAACAGAAAAGTAGATATCTGCCAGAATCCTCATATCTTTTCCCCAGTTTGGCAATTATTTCTCAATAGCTTTCCTCCAGGCTTTACCAGTCAGTGTGTCCTGAACTGTTTTAATCCCTTGGGAATGGGAATTCAGGACGTAGGACACAAGTGGCAGAACTCTGAAAGCAAGGAGCCTTAGACTGTCTCACTCTATAACACAATGAGGAGTGTTGGTTTTTATTCTCACTAATTACAGAAAAAACAAGCATTAAATGAGAGATGGACAGAAGATGTATATGGGTGTGAAAGACATGGTGTAAAGATTAAAAAAAATTGTGAGCATAAAGGATACATGCCAATGCATCACTTGAAAATACAAGAGGTAATTTGAAGTGTAAAAGATTATCTTAATGTCTGTCAGATCAGCTTTTGGACAAGGTCAGTTTGTATGTTTGCATATAAAGACATATGTGAAGTTCTTAAAGCTATTTTGAACACAAGCACAGTCACGGAACACCCACCCCTCCCCTAATCTTCCCTGAGACGCTTCTGCCGGAGCCAGAAATGAGCGAAGCCGGAGGATACAAAAGTGCACAGTCTATGTAGGACCCAGGAAAGTGTGGAAGTGCAGGGGTTTGGCAAAAATAGCCTGTATTTGTATAGCAACTTCTTTGGGTTCTACAACCCCCCAAGGCACTTCACCCATTCACATACTGGTGGGGATGAGCTACGATATAGCCACAGCTGCCCTGGGGCACACTAACCTAGGCGAGGCCTGCTAAACACTGGCGCCACCCATCCTTCAAACCACCACCAGCAGGAAAAGCAGGTTAAGTGGCTTGCCCAAGGACACAACAGCAGCATTCACTGGTCGGAGCCAGGATCAATCATGCAACCTTCCGATTACTGGACAACCCGCTCTACCTCCTGAGCTACTGCTGTTCTGACAAGACCAACAACCGGATGGTCCAATAATTGCTTTCGGTCCAAAAGGCTACAAAGCTACAATAGCAAGTCTGGAAAACCAGCTAGCTTAACTGAAAGCAACAATTGGACCATCCAGTTCCACCGAACCACTGCACTGCTGCATTTACCTCATGATGGGCTTGCAGATTATGTGACTGAACACCCCTGGTGTGAGAGGTTTGCTGCTCAGTAATATCAGAGGAGGAGAAGCAGCCGGCTGCTACCAATTCAACTTTAACACAAACTATGACAATCCCAAAAGGAAAAACACCATTTTAAGTCAGGGACAACAAAAGACATTTGGCCCTAGAAAAAAGCGACTGGTGTTTAGCACTCTCATGTCTCTGCTGGCAATGTGGATTCTGGCAGAAGCATCTCAGGGAAGATACCCACGGGGATGGGTGAGTGTTCCGTGACTATATCTGTATTTAAAAGCGATCAGTTTTAACTTATTGGAGTAGTTCTTGCCTATGTTAAAACAGACTAATAAAAAAAACAATAGAAACGATGTACAAAAGAATGAGTGAAAGCTGACTCACCAGCTGTCAACAGCAAAGCAAGCCCACTGTAAAACCATATGATTTACTTCTTTCCAAATATGATATACCACTAAAGTAATTCCTAGAAAGAAAAAAATATATCTCTCAATTTTTTTTCTCTTTTTTATTTGATTTCTCTGTTGGTGCTCCGAAGATGTTCTTACCATACTTGTTGCAGACAAAGTAAAACACAAGAAATGTTTCATTAACTTTAGCTGTATTAGCAAACAGCAACCTTTCACATTCATAAAAAGGCTCGGCGCTGTGCTGTGGAAAAGGTCGTCCTCCGCAGATCAGGTAACAGGAAATATATTACAGGCCGTCGGTTGTCAGTAAGACTTTCATCAATACTACCCAAGGCGTTTTTTATCATCCAATCATCTCTCTAATTTTCATTCATCCTCCCCACTGATTCCTGCACACTCCCTTTTCTCATACTTCTCAACAAAAAAGCAATCATCTGAGTCATCCCTAGCTAATGAGTCCTACGCTATGGATGGAAGGAGTGGAGAAAGGGAGTGGAGGAATGAGGATCTGACTCATGTCATATGACTTGAGATAAGCTGAAAAATAGGGTTATTGCCCTTCTCCATCACTTGCCTCTCTTCATGCTGCCCCTCTGGCAAAACTGACAAACCCAACTCGTCTTTTCTGTCAAGGACAATTCACTAATTTAGCTCCGTGATGTATTTTTTAAGACACATACAGAAATAGCATTCTACTTCTCATGCAATGAGGTTGTTCTAACATTCATGTAAGACACACTTTAGTCCCTGACAAAGTTATACAACCTCCACTGTCTCTGGCTTACCTTCTCTTATCCCAATCATTGCCCTATTTCCCCCCCCCCCCCCCCCCCCCCGTTATACGTGTAAAACTATTGTTTTAATGGTGAATGAACTGGTGGAGGAGGAGTCTTCAAAAAAAGCATCACGCTGGCCCAGATGTCAGCCTAGAAGACTTATGCATAGTCTTCTCTCTCTCTCTCTCTCTCCACACACCCCATCCTTTTTGAGGTTTTGTATGCATAGCTGTGCTCTCTGGTGAACACAGCTTACTGGTATTAACCCAGTTTCACTTTCCATGCAAGACCTTCTTTTTTCTCATTTGAACAGCCTTGTGATCAGGAGAAAACTGCAAGAAGCAGGAGGAACAGGAAGAGGGAGTATTTGTATCAGTGTCAGGATATTTTCATCTCATTTGAAGAAAAACTAGATTTTGCCTTTTGTGGTTTCCAGGGAATATAAGGAGCTAAGAGGTCAGCATGGGAGGTGACCTCCTGCAGTTCTGTGGGTGTTTTCACTTTCACTAAGAAAAGTCTTTTTTCATATCAAACTACTGAACATTATTGTAAAATGTATGGCAGTATGTCTCTAGCACAACAGAACCATGACATGAGCAGTCATGGGAATAACACCGTTTAAGTATAACGGCGTTACTAACGGCGTTCTTTTTTTTGGGTAATGGAATAATCTAATTAATTACTTTTCCCACTGTGGCAACACCGTTACCGTGACTGGGGACGGAAGGTTGTGCGTTACTATGTGCTTGACGAACGTTGAGCAGCAGTGTGAGGCTTTCTGACCGCCACACTTCAGCTGCAGCCAGGGAGAGAGAGGTGTCGGTAACGCACTTACAAACAGGATGATGATTGGCCAGGTGGGCGGAGACCCTCAGTGTCTCAGTCACTGAATGCTGTTGACACAACAGAGCAGTGATGGGAATAACGCTGTTTAAAATAACCGTGTTACTAAAAAAAATATTTCTTTCAGTAACGAGCAAACTAATTAATTACATCTTCTTTTATCAAAACGTTGTTTCTGTTACTGATAAGGAAATGCGTGCGTTGAGCAGCACGGTGTGTTGAAGCTGTCATCAGCTGATCAGGAGCTAAAGAGGTAGATGTTTTCATCCAAGAGCATCACGGCCCGTGAAGAACGAGGAAGATGTGATGAATAGTCTACGGCTGCAGGTGTGGATCAGCAGCCGTGCCCTTCTTAGCGTGACAGCGGGACGTCCTGAAGGTCCGCTCACCTGTTCACCGCTCAGACGTCCTGATCTTCTACCTTTCCTAGATCATCCAGCTATAACCTGTTCCTGATCATGTCTTTAGTCCCGCTGTAACACTGATGCATCAGTCTCAAACGCCATGGAGCTCAGGTGTTATTAGAACTACCTGCGTGTGACATTTACCACCCAGCTTCAGCTCTTCTGTGTTTGGGTCTGACCCAAGTTAGTACATTTAAGTCCTCCATCAGGCTTGTGCCTCTTCTAGTGTCATTTTAAAGGATTTTTATTTATTTGTTTAACCGTTACTAGATTACCAGCAACAGAAATGCTGCTAATAACAGTTTTGTGAAGCTGGAAAAATTCAAATACTGTGAAAAATTACCTTCATTTCTTTAATTTAACTAGACTAAGAGACCATTTAATGGCTCGGGAACCTTTACATGTGTTTCTATTTGCAATTTTAAATTTTAGCTGATTGGGATCTTGTTAAATATCACACAGTGACCTTTTAATAGTCTAGATAAGTATAATGTTCCTGTTAGTAGTTCCTCCTGTTAAGTGCTTATTTATTTAAATTATTCAGGTTTATAAAAAAACATTTGGACATACACTTTAGTATGTTCCAGGCATTAGTCATTTAGATTTCACTATTGTAGTCATTTTTAGTAAATTAAATAAGTTCAATTAACCCATTTTTCTTGCATTCTTTAATGAAAATGTAAATAAGTAGTTATTTTTCTTGGTAATTAGTTACTTGTATAATCTTGTAACTCAATTAGTAACTGAGTAACTTTTTGACAATGTAATTAGTAACTATAACTAATTACTTTTTAAAAGTAATTTTCCCAACACTGGACATGAGCATATGTACTGTTAATCAATGTTGAATGGCTGCTTGCTAGACCAGAACTTCATTTTGTTGTTGTTTTGTTGCTTTTATTTGTTCCATATGGCTGATGTTATAATCTGTCTGTCAACCCAGGTGAAACTGAACCAGGTGTGTGCGAAAGCCATCATGAAGATGACTTACTGTGCTCGCTGTGAGACCATGTCCTCTGCAATGCCTTGTTCCAACTATTGCATCAACGTCATGAAGGGCTGTCTAGCCAACCAAGCTGATCTTAACACTGAGTGGACACATCTAGGAGGTTGGTGCACTGACATTTTCATGTGGATATTTATAAATGGGGTTATCAATCAGTGTCTCATATGCAATATTCAGTAGACAGCAGTCAATCTTGGTTTGACAGGACGCTCCGATCCATTCGGATCAGAACCTCTCGCCATACGGGAAGAACAGTTTCTTCTCCTCTGCAGTTGGACTCATGAATGACAGTCGTATGACTGCCCACTCCTGTTGCTTTGTTCCAGTCACCTGACCCTGTGTTGTGTTTGCACCTGACTGTTCCGCTGATCAGTACCTATGCTGCCGTGTAAATTTTATCCGTTTCTCTAATTATTGCCTCTCTGTATCATTATATTATTGTACATTATATTATTGTACTTATTTCTTATTTTTTGCACCATGTACTGCAGCAGAGTTCTCACACATATGTCAATAAACCCATCTGATTCTGATTAGGAAAATTGAAGAAAAGTTCTCATGCAAGAATCAAGCAATCCTAAGGTGTTTGTGACTTTACACCATCTAAACTGCTAAGAATCACACTTCCACTGAGCGTACACTTTATTAAATAGTGAAATAATGCAAACAGCTTTCTCATACACAGGCATGTGTGTAAACCTAGCTAAAATAGTTGCTAAACATCTTATCATATGTGTCAATTTTAAGTTGCTCTAACTCATACTTCACATACACACACACACACACACACACACTCTCTCTCTCTCTCTCTCTCTCTCTCTCTCTCTCTCTCTCTCACAAGAATAGTTCATCATAGTCTCTTTTGCATTTCATTTACTTTTGGGAACTGAAGTTATTTAAGGAATTGTACTCTTGTTTGGGCCTAGTTCTGGTTTGCATTTAGTTGGATACATGAGAATTTTTCTCCATCCATCCATCCATCCATCCATCCATTTTCATCTGCTTATCCAGAGTCGAGTCGCGGGGCAGTAGCCTAAGGCGAGAGGCCCAGACTTCCCTCTCCCCAGCCACTTGGGCCAGCTCCTCCGGGGGAATCCTAAGGCATTCCCTGGCCAGGTGAGAGACATAGTCCCTCCAACGTGTCCTGGGTCTACCTTTAGGTCTCCTCCTGGTTGGACGTGCCCGGAAAAAATCACCAGGGAGGCGTCCAGGAGGCATCCTGACCAGATGCCCGAGCCACCTCAACTGGCTCCTCTCAATGTGGAGGAGCAGCTGGTCTACTCCGAGCCCCTCCCGGATGACCTAGCTTCTCACCCTATATCTAAGGGAGAGCCCAGCCACTCTTCGGAGAAAACTCATTTCGGCCCTTGTACCCGCGATCTCGTTCTTTTGGTCACTAGCCAAAGCTCATTACCATAGGTGAGGGTAGGAACGTACAGTAGATCGACCGGTCAATCGAGAGCTTTGCCTTCTGACTCAGCTCTCTCTTCACCACGACAGACCAGTACAACGCCCGCATCACTGCAGATGCAGCACCAATCTGCCTATCGATCTCACGCTCCAGTTTTCCCTCACTCGTGAACAAGACCCCGAGATACTTAAACTCCTCCACTGGGTGCAGGACCTCATCCCTGACCTGGAGAAGGCATTCTACCCTTTTCTCCACTATTCGTGCAGTATATGACTGTATATGTATTCAACACAATCCTATCATCAAATTCGTGAAAATATTCCCTAATATATGTATTTTTTCTTTAGCTTCAACCCAGCACATTTTAATAAGCTTCACCTGCTAACCACTTCTCTTCACCTTCACTGTCTGTCTTTGTAGACACAATGGTAGAGGTGGCTGAGCACCGCTTGAATGACATGGACAGTGTGATCCTCTCTCTTCCAAATCACATAGCGGAAGCCATGTTTACCATGATGGAGAACATCGGCACCATCAACAGCAAGGTTAGAACACAAATTGGTACACACACACAGGTTCAAACCCAATCCAGCAGAAATGGAAACACTTGTAGGGAAAAAATCCAGAAATGAAAGCTGGATCAAAATGTTGCATACCTATGTCTAAATCCAAGAGCCAAAATTTGACATTTAACAATTTTGCTCCAGTTCTGATGACAGTCGATGTTTGAATATCATACTTAGGTGGAGTAATGTGATTTTCGTCCTGGCTCTGGAAGTGTGGACCAGCCCTTTACCCAAAATAGATGTACATTCTTTGGAACATGTTGTGCTTGCACTGGAAGAATGTTTTCGATAGCAGTGTCATAGAACAATCACAAGCAAACCACACACACACACACACACACACACACACACACACACATATGTATATATATATATGTGTGTGTGTGTGTGTGTGTATTATTTCTTTTTTTTCCTGTTTTAAGAAGAAAAAATGTTCTCCAGCTACCATTTCTGAACACGTGTAACACAACACTTGAGTTATTGAGTTTGTTTTTTATGTAGTCAGGAAGCCATGGCGTACCCACAAAGCCGAGGTTTAGCATAGAAGCTAATTGAGGGGTTTAAATATTTAACATGAAGAAAAAGTGGTTGGGTCAAGTTTAAAAGGTTTAAAAAGGGTATTTACTTAGAAAGAAACCCTTACCTTTCTCAGATTTCACAGTCCCTTGTGCCTCTATTCCCTTTAGTGTTGTTTACATGATTAACACCTCTCACTGCATTGTAACTCCCCACATATCTAGTTTAAATGAAAGGATGTGAGTCATAACAGAGCCTTTAGGCCAGGCTTTTACTTTACTCTTTATTGGTGTTTGGATACAAGTTTTATATGATCCCTAATAGCAACTGGCAGCAGCATAAAGCGACTGGATTGTTTTTTAAAGGCTGAAAATGGTGTGAAAAGCAGGAGGAGAGACAAAGCTTCCTCTGTGCAGGTTTCCTAAAAGAGCCGGCCTGGTTTAGAGGTGATCCTGGTTCAATGCGGTCATCACACACATCTTCCAGTCACATGATTCTCAGAAGTCAACTGATGCTCATAGTGCTGAAGAGATTACCTCTTTTTTACATAAGCTGGTGGCGTTAAAAGCCAGACCATGTGTTGGGTTCTTTCTCATCAAACACTTTCAGACTGAAAATCCAATATGCCTTTTCAAATAGCTACTTGTGGTTTACATGTAAATCACATTCCTGGAAACTGAACATGGGAATGCCCTGTGTGTGTGTGTGTGTGTGTGTGTGTGTGTGTGTGTGTGTGTGTGTGTGTGTGTGTGTGTGTGTGTGTGTGTGTGTGTGTGTGTGTGTGTGTGTGTGTGTGTGTGTGTTCAGAGATTTTATTCCTCTAAACAGAACAGCTTAGATGACAAATTGACTGCATGAATCACTGGACTCCCAGTGAACTATTTAAAAACCTTAAACCCCACAAGAACTAAAAACGCTGTGTTTTCATGCGCATCAGAAAACCAAAATTTTGCCCCAAATAGACCTGATGTCATTTTTTGTTTCAATACATATGAACACGTTGCTCTGGCTGAAGGCAAACTGGTTTTAATCATGCTGAAGCACCCAGTAAATGTGGTAGGAAACCGGCTGCATTTGCATGTAAACGACTCAGTCGAGCTGATACCACTAAATTCTGGAACTGACAGTACCAGGCAAATATTAATGCAATCAAACAGTACAGTATGTACCAAATAAGCTGTGCTGCAGCACCATAAAAAAAGGATTTTCGGATTTAACTTGACTCCGTCTAGTTATCCTGTTGCAATGACAGTTAAGTTACATCAACTATCACTGTCAAGTTCAAATCACTTCATCAAAGCTAATGATACAACTTTAAGCAAGCTGACCTGACTGTCTTTACTAAGTGCAAAAAACTTAAAATGATCTGTCAAAAGAAATAAACAAGATGTTCCAACCTATTTTATTAAGTTTTGTAGTCTATTATATTAAGTTGAATTAACATGAAATTTTAAGTTTTCATTACATGACTGGCAAAGTCACATGGACTCATTTTAATAAGTTTTAACCAATGTTAAGCTGATTGTCTCGAAAATAAATTCTCACGTTTTAACAATTTTTTTCTAAGTTAAAGTAAAATCTGATCTTGAGTTATAGTGTCATTTAAAATGGTACCGTCACATTAATAACACTTAAAAAATGTTCTGGTAAAGTTTTGTTTTTCAACTAAATTTACCAAGTAAAAGTTTATAAGAAAGAAACACAAGTTACATTTATATTACGCACAAAAATGAATGTGCATACATTGTTTTTCATTCATTCTGTCACACCCTGTCCTGTCTCCCCGTTTGGTTCAGCCATGTGTCTCTGTTAATTGCTCCCACCTGCCTCTCGTTTTCCAGTCACCCAAGCTCCCAGCCCTCTTGTATTTAAACCCCTTCAGTTCTGTGTATCGTGTTGGATCATTGTTTCAGTGTGAGCGTGTTTATTATTAAAGCCTTTAACATTCATGTCTGATTGCCTACCTTCTTCACCTGCGTGTGGATCCTCACCTCCGCTTCACACTCCAGCACGCCTGACACATTCAGCCATCCTGTTTTTAAACTGTCTGCTTCACTCCCGCCAGCAATTGTTAACTATCTGTGTTGCAATAAGCTAACCAGAAGAATGCCGACATAAAAGGGTGCATGACACCACCTACTGTACCGAAGTTGAACAAACCTCATTTGAGATAACGGTTTTCTAATGTACACGCAAACTAGGATAAAGGCTCCCGCGTTATTACTTTAGAATGACTTAGATGTGCATGTAAACGTACTGACTAACAACACTGTGGGGTGGTCTTTTAATCCAGTGCACTGGTTCACACATTGGTCATGAGAATAACCACCACGTGTCATTCTTGGGAATAACCTAAACGATTTGTTTATTTAATTATTTATGCAATGTATAGTTTAAACGTTAAGTTTTGATACAATGGGGATTTTTTTAAGTGTTGTTCTGTGGAAAGGTCTCTTAGACAAATCTCAGAAGCAAATCAAATCTGATTGGACAGGGGAGCTAAAGGAGAACTAGCTGCACAAATGTAAAAGTAAAATGTTTAGACAAATTTTACTGAAAAAAATTCACATTGCCCTTGCATGGACTACTAAGATTTATTTATTTATTTATTTATTTATTTTTGAAAGCAGAAACATTTAACTGGCTCCTATTCTCTCCATCTCATGTCCTTTATCTTTCCTTTCATTCCCCCTTTCCCAGCTGTTTCAGGCTTGTGGGAACCTCCGAGGAGGAGAGGTCAGCAGCACAGGTGATGGGGAAATTATGAAAAGAGGAAGTATGACAGTGGAGGACAGGCTGGGAGACACCTCAAACAGAATGGAAAAGTTGGTTAGTGACCTTACTTCACCCACTTACAGAAATGGCTTAAAGAAAAGCAATAAACTACTTTAGCTGCTTATGTCAACTTTGCACGTGTTATTAGAGAGATGCATGAATGTTTTGATGGATGACTGAGAACCATAGCTACAGGTTTTCTCACTCTTCCATTTAAATGATGTATATTGTGTCATAATGAATTAACTGTGGTTACTTCTGTCTCAGATATCCGATGTAACAACGAGGCTCAGGGGCATGCGGTCGTATTGGGTTTCTCTACCAAACTTGCTCTGCAGCGACAGAGTGGCCATAGGAGCTGGGGCGGAGGATATGTGTTGGAATGGTGGGAGTCGTGCAAGGTAAGAGTTATACATTTTTGAATTTTTTTTATTAGTCATCCAAATGAGAAATTACATTTTTGTTGCAACATCTTAATAGTTTGGCCCATGTCTGCTTTTGTTTTACAATTTGGGGCACAGATTAGAAATGCACATAAAAAGGACCAAAAATATTGAACGAAACTTTCATTAGAAGTTTTCTTAATTGTTGACTAGTATTTACTAGAAATGTTAAGTTCGTCTTTACTTTAAAACAGTACAACCTTGCCATTCTGATTCGTAGCGTTAGAGTTTTCATCCATCCATCCATCCATTGTCTGAACCCGCTTGTCCACGTAGGGTCGCGGGGGGGCTGGTGCCTATCTCCAGTGGTCAATGGGCAATCAGGCGGGGTACACCGTGGACAGAGTGCCAGTCCATCGCAGGGCAACACAGAGACACACAGGACAAACAATCATGCACACACACACACACACCTAAGGACAATTTGGACAGACCAATTAACCTAACAGTCATGTTTTTGGACTGTGGGAGGAAGCCAGAGTACCCGGAGAGAACCCACGCATGCACAGGGAGAACATGCAAACTCCATGCAGAAAGATCCCAGGCCGGGAAGAGAACCCAGGACCTTCTTGCTGCAAGGCAACAGCTCAAACCACTGCGACACTGTGCAGCCTGAGTTAGTTTTGTGTAACGTTGAACTCTCTTTATAAAAACAAGATCTTTGTACAATGGAGATTTTATAAGATCATGGGGTCCTTTAGACCAAACCCTAATAATGAGGGACATTTTCATGCATGTTGTAAAAGTTTATGTAAATCAGCTCAGGTCATACAACCCTGCATTTAGAAACTATCATAAAACGCACGGCAACATTACTTCCCTGTTACAGACGTTCAACCTCCAGTTGCAATTTTGATGTCCAAATCTGTATTACAGAATGGTGGCTAAAATGGTTGCTATGGACTGTGAGGTTTTATTATTTTTCCAGCTAATCAAGTGTTTTTGTGAGCCAGGTATCTGCCTGAGGCGATTGGTGATGGCCTGGCCAACCAGATCAACAACCCTGAAGTGGAACTTGACATCACAAAACCAGACAAGACGATACGACAACAGATAATGCAGCTGAAGATCAGGACCCACAACCTCAGGAATGCTCTAATTGGTCGTGATACTGACTTTCAAGACACCAGTAAGTTGAAATGAAATTGACAGAAACAAAATACAAAGGGCAAATTAATAATTTTTAATTGTAGTTTATTTTAGTAGGATATGATTATGATTGCTTTAGGACAGCTTTGTATGTCATTGAACCAGTGTCCTGGTACAATGACATGTAGTTTCAGTACAACCGTTCCAAGATCAGACATACAGCACATGACACACAACAGGTTTTACTATGGTCATGCAGTCATTATAGCACTCCCATTATGCAGATACATAAAATGGGTAACATGAGTGCAGGGAGATGAAGAAAAGTAATGCACCCACAAACCCCCTACAGGGAACAGAATTGGCTTGCAGGGGAAAAAAAATACACCTCAGGCTGAAAAACACAGTCAGACAGTCACAACATTATCAAACGTGAGGTGGGTAGGAGGAGTGGGAATCCCCATGCATCAGAGGGACACCTTCAACCTCCGCTGCCTGGGAAATGGGAGGACAAATTCAAGGATGCGCAAGCACGCTGAAAAACTGGGAGTGTGTGTCTGTCATGTAAGCACGTGCATGCATGCATGCGTCAGTGTAAGTGGGTCAATGGACATTCTGTCAGTTCAGCTGCAATGTCCGTCGCCTCAGATGTAACAATACAACCTTCCTGACACTGGTCCAAGGAGCCCAAGATCCTTTTCGAGGAATGGGGAGGGAGGGGTAGAGCATCTGTCTACATAAACATATAATATGAAAATATGTTTTAAACTTTCTAACAGGGATAATGTTTAGGTAAGCTCAAAATTAGAAAGTTGATTTTCCTAAATTGTTATTTTCTTTTGAGTTTGTTAATACTTTCACAATAATGTTTCTAGTACCAAAGCTGTACCTAGAATCTGAAGAAAATGTGTTTTAAACATTAAAAATTGTGAACACATTTTGAAAAAACGAAAAAACAATTCTGGGCTTTTGGAAGCAAACCAACTAAATAGCATTAATCAGATTTTGAGCTCCTTACTGTAGGTTTTGTGTATTTTAAGTTTCAGGAAGCCTTCAAAACAAGTTGATGTTACAAAGTAATGGTCCCCAACCATTTTTCCATTATAGACTGGTTAGGTACCAGGCAAATTTTCCATGGACTAGTGTAAAAGGGGGAGAATGATATAATTATAAAATATAATATAAAAATCAAGTCATACATGTATATTGCAATGGCATTATGCACTTTTGTCTTGTTTTTGTGTTTTTCCCTAAATACAATTAAAACTTCTTTTAGGCCAATGTATACATTTTTAATGTCTTTTTCCGGTTGCTTATTTTTTTAGTATGATTTTCCTTTTTCTGTGTGTGGCCTAGTCCTTGGCACAGTGCTTGGGAGAATTAGGAAACCATCACAAGTTTCTTTAATTTATGTGCAAGCTTAGAATTTTGTCTCGTTTCTTGTTCCATAGATGATGATGTTAGCGGATCAGGAAGTGGCGTGTGCACAGATGAAACGTGTTTGCCAGGACCACGCCTTGCTGCCCCCAGCACTGATCGTCCCATACAATACGTCAATCCACCCGAAAACAACAAAGTTAAAAGTTCAGCCCAGCAAGCCCTCCCTTCCAACACCATCTACCTGCTTTCACTGCTCCTGTTGCTGCTCAGACGATAATCCTGAATCTGGGACTTGGAGTTGTAAAGAGGAGAGAGAGAGAGAGAGAGAGAGAGAAGAGAATATGGGTGTTAGTAACTTTGCCAAAAGTAAGTAAGTGTAGAAACGACAAAGAACGTCAATTAGGTGGACTTCCTTTTGGATTCAGATAAGAACAAGATCGGAGTTATGAGTTTCTCTTGTTTTTGTTCTTCTCTTGTCCTTTTTATGTGTTGCTATTCTATGACACCGTTAGAGCTGGTCTTTTCTGCATCTACATATGTTTGGTTTCTAGTGTTTGTGTTCTCTGAGATTATATTTGCACCTAAGAAATTTTGTACGAGTGTACTAACGTGATGCTGATAAAGCAGAGGAGCGAGGACGGAGCACTGCAGCTGTCCTCATTTGCATTATTTGAATTCCACTTATAATAAGTAGACATTATTTATTTGTAATAACATTTGGCAGCAGAGCACCAATTTGATTAATCAGGCCATGCCATCATGAACAAAACACACAAACCACTGATGTGATAAAAGAAGATTTAAAGGTTTGATTACTAGAGGATAATCTGAACATCACGTATTAGTGTATTAGGTTTCCCACTTTTTCTGTCACACGGGGAGGACGAGAGCACTGCCCCTCAGCACTTTCTGCCATTTCATCTTGTAAGCTGCAATAAACGCCATCATCATGTTCACAGACATGTTCCTGGAGGAAGGGTAATGCGTCCTGTCCTCCAGTCTATCCATCCTTTTCTCCTTATATTACCCTCTGCTCCAGCCCCTCCCACTCAGCCCCAGTAGATAGGAATGCTTGAATGTGTGGAAAACAATTGGTTGTTTGTCAATATTGACAATAATTATTTAATACAGTTACAGAGTTGTAAAATCACCATCCAGATTTACCCCAGCAGGTGGCAGATTTGCTCTGTTTAGCACTGATTGAACTGAGACCAAAAACTATTGTTTTTATACTAGACTCGTCATCAAAATCACCGGCTGTTATAGAATAAGACTAAATATTATGATCAAATTTGGTCACATTGAGAAAACCTTGACAGACAGTGTCCAAGTAGGGAGTCGGTTCATAAAAAAGTGGGTTTTTTTTATTTCCTCCTAGGAGTGATGATGCTTAAAATTAGAACATAATTCAGAAGTGTTGACAGATGCTGTCAGCAGCTGGTTCATTTAGAAAACATGGAGACATTTTTTGGCGCGTCATGCATTGTAGTTGTGTTTTGCCTTTGCTCTGCCCTCCCACACTGCAGTGACTTTTTCAAATACACAGCCACTAACAGCTGATTTTAATCCTCAGAAGGGGAAGATCAAATAAATTGTGCTTGAAAACTGAAATTTGACTAAATAATTGTATGCATTGACAAGTAAATTATTTCACTGATAATTTGGAGCTGAAATTAATAGCTGATGGAACATTTTAGAATAACCCTTAGAATCTAGCAGGCCTTTGGTTTAAAGGGATACTAAGCAGTTTTGCCTGATTTTAGCACCCCCTAGTGTCTGTTATTAATTGTCTGTGCTCAAAGCAAATGTGAAACTTATCTCCTCACTGTGTGTTTGTCTTTTTAACACTCTTATCAAACTGCTGAAAAGTCTCCTCAGCCTTCATTAGTGTCTGCAGGAGCGGTTCATCACTAAATTCAATTCTGGGCTGGTATCCAGCATGTTTTAGCTCCAACACACTATTCGATTGTTGAATCACCTGTGCAGCAGCTCACCAGGCTCTGCAGAAACCTGGTTATCTGTTGACTGAAATTAAAGTGTGTTGAAGCAGAGTTTAAACTAACACATTCTGGATACCAGCCCTCCAGGTCCAGAATTGAATAGCTCTGATCTATAACATGCAGAAAATGTGCTAGAAGCAGACTTCAGCTCTACCATGTCAGCCCCATCCCACTCAACAGGATCCTCCCCCAGCGGGGAGCAGCCCAGTACAACTGAAGCTGCAAGCGTGGTATTCTGGCCACAGGGGTCAGTGGGGGTCCGAGTGGCTTTTCATTAACCTTGTAAAGGGTCATTTTAGCTCAAACTGGCTCAAGAAAAGAATTTAAAAATATGAAAAAAGTTGCATAGAAAGGCTTTAAGTCAAGCATCTCTTTTACTGAGACTAGCTACACGCTAACTTTCACATACAGGTGAAACTCACAAAATCTGAATATGGTGAAAAGTTAATTTATGTCAGTAATTCAACTTAAAAGGTGAAACTAATATATGAGATAGATTCATTACATGCTAAGTCAGATATTGCAAGTCTTTATTTGTGATGAATATGGCTTACACATTATGAAAAATCTCATCCAATTAGAATATTACACAAAATCAGTAAAACAACGTAGTAAAATAATCATGCATATGAGCTATAGCCTTCTTGGTTCGGGCCCCTTTTGCTTACATAAATTCATTTTTGCACAGTGTTTTGAATTTCCAAAATTCACCTGATGTACTTTTCTGGTGCCCTTTGTTCAGTATTTCCTCAACGCAAATCAAAAATACAGAATGCACTTTCGTCTTTCTTGGAAAAACCCAGTATTACCCTTACCTGAATTGCATTGTGTGGAACTGTAGCATTGCTCAGTATCATATAAAAAGTCAAATCACATACAACTTTAAAACAAATTACACATATTTGTAACAAACCAATCTGTGCACAAACCTTGATAATGAATAATTTATTCATGTTTGACTTTCATCTCTTTGCAACTTTCCGACACGAGTGCCTCTCAGTTCCCACCTCCACTCCTATTCTCTTTCCCACTCATCACTTGTAATGACCTTTACAGCACTCCTCATGCTTCTACATGATGGCAAAGGCAATATGACAATGACACACTGCGTCATTACGTGTCAACCTTCCCAGAATGCTTTTTTTTTTTTTTTTTTGAGAACACAATGTTTTGCCTTTCCTGATGAGATGCTGGCCCGAGGAGAAACCATATTTTAATTCAAAGGACTGTCGGAGATCTCATTTTAAAGAATCTGTGCGCAGGATGATGAGACAATTGCATGCATGTTTGTGTGAATGTGTGCACCTGTCTACAACTGACAGAGCCCAACAAAGGTACAAAAGATAGAGCCTGTGTAAACCTTGTTTGGGTGAAATCTTTTAAAACTGTGCCAGACTAACGGCGTGTGACAGATTGCTATTAAACTTACAGCAACAGGAGATTAATAAGACCCATTTTTCAGAATTAGTATTTTGGCCGTAATAGCTACCAGCCTGTATTCTGCAGTCAGAACTGGATCTCACTAAAATGTAATATTAAATCAGACATGTGTCTTTAAAAATGGGACGTTGTTTTAGTCGTGCACCCAAATGTTTAAAAAATCTACCTGCACAGGTGAAGGCAGTACAAACCCATCAGCAGCTCTGTCAGCTCTGAAAATGTCTGTTTCTGTTAGATGGCAGGTGTTTTTATTTTTAATTTTTTTGTTATTCTTTATTGATGATGGGCCGTTGTATTTGTTTGCCACTTCTTTTGTCCCTGAGAAAGAAATCTGCCTGCAACTGCCTTTGATGCTTTTGGATCACCCATGAGACGTAAAAGCAGAGATATACTCTGTTAGATATTTTGGTGGAAATAAAAATGACATCTAGTAGTCAGTGTACCATGTAGGTCCCTCATGTGTGACCCTTAAGATAATGTCTGAAAATCAATGTGAAGGTACCCAGGAATGAATACGACTGTGATGGTGACATTCCAGCTCAAAGACGACCAGTTCTCCAGACTGATCGCGTCACAATGTCATCGACTGAAATTTGCACAACCCCACTTCTCACCCTCTCACCTTCCGCCTTTCTTTTCTAAACTCACTCCCTCCCCACTTTAGCCTAAACTGCACTTTTTTTGTTATGTGGTCACTAAATGGCATTGTCTGCACAAAGACATCACGAGATCAATGAGAGAGTCAACACCTTCCAGAAACGACTATTGATTGGAGGATGTGTGTATGCAGATGGAGGGTGGCCCAGCAAGCCAACTCCTGTTGATAATGGTGGAAGAGTGTAAACATAATGAATTTGAGAGAGAGACGCAGAAAGAATTGCACTGATTTGAAATCAGTTTTCATTATTTTTATATATCCACGCCTTTTTATTCATTGCTGTGTGGCAAAAATTAAAGATGCAAAACTAATAAGTCACAATTCAAAAACACTGACGTGTCAGAACGACAAACTTATGAGTACTTCTCTCCTTGTCTTGCTTTACTTTGGTCGTTTTATCAGAAATCTATGGAGAGTTTATTCTAACTTTACAGACAGGTGCCAGAGAGAGGATGAGAAATGTAAAGAAAAATGTCTCATTTTGCTGTTGTACCTGCAGTATTGTGTCAGTCACATACAGTGTAAGATTTTCAACATTCCTGTGTCTGGTTTCTTTAATGAAAGGTGTTTCTATCGATGATTTTGAAACAATAAAAGTTAAAAAAAAGTTCCTTTTTTAATATTTGTTGTGAGTAAAAATATATGCAATAATGACTTTAAGTTAAGTGTGATGCTGTGTTTAGAGCGTCTGCACCATCTGCCACAGACATTTCCTCAGAGTGCAGCAGAGCATCGTGCTTCCTGAAAGGACCGGTCGAGAGACGATGTCAGAAGTGACAGCTGCTGTCCCGTGTCCTCCGCAGAGAAACCTGCCTCATGTTTAGAGTCCACTAAGTGCTTTGTCTTGTCTGAGTGTGTAGTCGATGAAAGCAGTACACGTTTGTGATCTTGAGACAGTAAAAAGAGAAAAAGATCTCATGAAAGACTCACAAAGTTCTTTTCATGATGTCATACTGCCAAGAGGTAAAAAAAATGTGTTGGATTCTCTGCAGTGACTTTTTAAAAAGCGAGGGGGTAATGGACGTTTCCGTAGGAACTGTCTGGTCATTTTATTGGAGCACCAGAACATGTTTCTGCATGCTTCAGTCAGAAATTATAGTTGTTTTTATTTCATTTACCAACCATCCTTGTCAGGATGTTTTGGATGTTCATTTTAAAATCCTCTAAGCTTTTTGAGGAACACGCACAAAACATTTCTCTGATGACAGATGTAGTTGAATAAAATTTTCTCAGGTAATGATAAATGACCCACATTTGTATAGCACCTTTCAGAGTCAGAGGACTCCAAAGTGTTTTACACTACAGTGTATCATTTATCCATTCACTCACTGATGGTGATGAGCTACAATGTAGCCACAGCTGGCCTGGGGTGCACTGACAGATGTGAAGCTGCTGAACACAGGTGCCTCAAGTCTCTCTGACCACCAGCAGGCAATGTGGGTTAAGTGTCTTGCCCAAGGACATAACAGCAGAACTCTGTCCGAAGCCAAACCTGCAACCTTTTGATTACTGGAAAACCTGCTCAACCACTTGAGCTAGTGCATGAACTTTAAAGACGTAGTTTACACATTTAATCAATACATTCGCAGTGGTCCCAAGTAGTAAAGTAAGTAAATTTTATTTATGTAGCACTCATCACAGACATAAAATCACAAAGTGCTTCACATCAAAACAAAACAAATAAAGTCATAAAATCATAATGATAAAAACAAAGTCTTAAAATTATAAACTACCATTAAACAGATGAAAGGTGATTACAAATTTTAGTTGAAAAATAAGAAAATAAAAGATTTAGGTTAAAGCTGCTTTAAATAAAAGGGTCTTCAGTTGTTTTTAAAAGTTTGCAGACTGTCAATGCTGCATAAGGATAAAGGAAGATCATTCCAAAGTCGGGGTGCTACAGTCTGGAAGGAGCGATCACCTTGACTTTTACTTCTGGTCTTCGAAACTTCTAGAAGGTTCTGGTGGGTGGACATGAGGGCTGGGTTGGAGCATAAGGCTTTAATAGATCAGTAATATAGGGAGGAGCTTGACCATATAGAGCCCTAAAAGTTACAGTCAGGATTCTAAAATGAATCCTAAAGTTAATGGGTAACCAATGCAGAGACATTAGAATAGGAGTGATGTGTGCTCTTCTGTTTGCTCCAGTTAAGAGCCTCGCGTTACAATAATCTAGACTGTAGGAGATAAAGGCATGGATAACCACGTAAGAATGAATGCTTTGCAAGTCATACTCTGGGGCGGAGCCCCGGTACACTTGTCTCAGGAACTAGAAGTGAGCCACATCAGATTTGAGCTTTGGACAGCTGGATTTTGGGTTTGTACTTCATGATATCTGCACATCTGGCCTCTGATTGGATAACAGCAACATGACTCTACCACTGACTCTGTTTACTCTGCAACATTCATGTTTTATCTCCACAAAAACTCAAGCCTGAAGGAGTTCTGCTGTGTGGTGGAGCTGCAAATGCTATCAGTTAGCTTCCACCAGCCGAGACTTTTCCTTCTGATTCCTGGATGCTAAGCCAATAACACCCTTCCCCATTGTGAGTCAAGATGGATGAGTCTGTGAATGTTTAGTGACAGTGTGACGTAGATCGGTCAGGTTTTTCAAATCCCAGAGTTTCACCATCTATTTTCTCTCAGACACTAATGCAGGAGACCATTTTCCTGTTCAGATGGCGTGAAAAACCCAGTGACCAATTATACTCAGAAAAAAAATGATTAAAAATGTTT